TCATAAAACGTTATCATAAAACTTGATCATAAAACTTGATCATAAAAGGCAGTGGGGAATATGAATTCTTTCCAGGGATGCCAACCCTTTAATTTAACACTGCAATGTCAGACCGTCACAGTCTGAGACGACTGATGCACATGGCTCCTGTTACATGTTGTTCATTTGTTTATGACAAACAGACACAAATAAATATTTCATAAAAGGCTTAAAACACAGCTACCTGTGAAGAATCGATTTAACAAGCACAAACAAAAGAAAAACCTGACAGCTCTTTGTCTTCTTCTTTTGGCTATTCCTTTTATAGGAGTCGCCACCACGAGTCATCCACTTCCATCTAATTCAATCCTCTGTCCTCACGCTGTGTCCTCTGTCCTCACTCTGTCCTCTGCATCCTCTGTCCTCACTCTGTCTTCTGTGTCCTCTGTCCTCACTATGTGCTCTGCATCCTTTGTCCTCGTTATGTCCTCTAGCTACCTCCATGCATCCATGTATCTCCTCTTTGTCTTTTTCCTGGGAGCTGCATTTCTAACATCCTTCTACCAAAATACCCATTTTCCTGGACAGTGGACCCCAAGTCCTTGAAGTCCTGCACCTTTGTGACCTCTGCTCCTTGTAGCCTCACTGTTTCACCTCCTCCCTCTCATTCACACATGGACTCTGTCTTACTACGACTATTACTTTCATTCCTCTTCTTTCAAGTGCATACCTCCACCTCTCCAAGTTTTCTTCCACCTGTTCCCTGTTCTCACCACAGATCACAATGTCATCTGCAAACATCATAGTCCATGTGGATTCCTGCCTGACCTCATCTGTTAGTCAGTCCATGACCAGAGCAAACAAGAAGGGGCTCAGAGCTGATCCTTGATGCACTCCCACCTCCACCTTGAATCTATCTGTCACTCCTACAGCACATCTCACCACTGTCCTGTTGTCCTCATACATGTCCTGCTGTCCTCATACATGTCCTGCTGTCCTCATGCATGTCCTGCTGTCCTCATACATGTCCTGTTGTCCTCATACTTGTCCTGTTGTCCTCGTACATGTCCTGCTGTCCTCATACATGTCATGCTGTCCTCATGCATGTCCTGCTGTCCTCATGCATGTCCTGTACCAGTCTAACATACCACACCTTCTCCCTCAGCACTCTGTCAGATGATTTTTCTAAAGCCACAAATCCACAATGGAGTTCTTTCTGACCCTCTCTGTTCTTCTCCATCATCATCCTCAAATCAAAGATGGATCTGTGGTGCTCTTTCTCAGCATGAAACCATCCTGCTGCTCACAGATAGTCACCTCTCGTCCAAGTCTTGCTTCCACAACTCTCTCCCAGATCTTCATTGTTTGACTCATCAACTTAATTCCCCTGTAGTTGCTACAACTCTGTACATCACCCTTGTTCTTAAAAATGGCCACCAGCACTTCTTCTCCATTCCTCAGACATTTTCTCACCCTCAAATATGCCATTGAATATTTGAGTCAAAAACCTCACTGCCATCTCTCCAAGACATTTCCAAACCTCCACTGATGTGTGATCAGGTCCAAGTACGTTCACCTTCTTCGTCCTCTTCAAAAGCCTTCTGGACTTCACCCTCACTTAATTTGGTGATATGTGACATCTGTGCTGCTGATTATCTATGCTGCTGATCTCATGTTGCTTTATTCATTCATACCCATCTGCTCACCACAGACTCATGTTTGGGCTGCTGTTTGATACGCCATATTGTTTTACATTATTAGTGTTTAGCGTATATCAATAAACTTAACTTGAACTTGAAGTAATCTTTCTCACTTCCTGGCCCACAGTTTCTATGACATCTATTCTTCTTTCTCTTTCATTCTCTTCAATCATTAGCTCCTCAAAGTACTCCTTCCATCTTCCCATCACACTCATCACTTGTTAGAACATTACCATTCCTATCTTTAACAAGCCTAACCTGCTGCACATCCTTTCCAGCCTGATCCCTCTGTCTCACCAGTTGCTCCAAGTCCTCCTCTCCCGCTTTAGTGCCCAGCGTCTTGTACAACTCATCATACAGAGTTAGAGAGATTTGTCATTCGCACCACATGTGGTACATGTGGTGGAACGAGATTATGTACACAGGGTCCCAGTTACATCCAACAATAAGATCTAAGATACGAACTAAGAAAAACATCAACTAAATATTCGCTAAGCACTATCGAACAGCAGCATGAACATGATGAGTCTGTGTGAGCAGATGAGCACGCATGAACACATCAACATGAAACAGATCAGCAGCAACATGAAACAGATCAGCAGCAACATGAAACAGATCAGCAGCAACATGAAACAGATCAGCAGCAACATGAAACAGATCAGCAGCAACATGAAACGGATCAGCAGCAACATGAAACGGATCAGCAGCAACATGTGATTTTTCACAGTGATTATTCTGGTTAGAGATTCATGAGTCTGACAGCCTCAGGGTAGAAGCTGTTCCTCAATCTAGTGGTTCTACACTTAATGGTTACATCTTCTATTTTGCATTTGCTTCCTCTCTCTTTGTCCTACATTGCATGTCCTTATGTTCCTGTCTCCTGTCTTCAGTCCTCTCACTATCATATTTCTTTTTGGCTAACTTCATCCTCTGGATAACTTCCTGCAGTTCACTACTCCACCACAAGGTGTCCTTATTCTCTTTTGTCTGCCCAGAGACAAACCAGCATGCACAACAAAATACATTTATGCTTCACGTGTTAAAATAAAGCTGTTGAATGGCCAGCTCAATATGTCTTGCTGTCAAATATGTCAGTCAGTCAGTGAGTGAGTCAGTCAGTCAGTGAGTCAGTGAGTGAGTGAGTCGGTGAGTGAGTGAGTCAGTGAGTCAGTCAGTCAGTGAGTTAGTCAGTGAGTGAGTGAGTCAGTTAGTCAGTGAGTCAGTGAGTGAGTGAGTCAGTGAGTCAGTCATTGAGTCAGTGAGTGAGTGAGTCAGTCAGTGAGTCAGTCAGCAGTCAGTCAGTGAGTGAGTGAGTGAGTGAGTGAGTGAGTGAGTCAGTTATTGAGTCAGTGAGTGAGTGAGTCAGTCAGTGAGTCAGTCAGCAGTCAGTCAGTGAGTGAGTGAGTGAGTGAGTGAGTCAGTTAGTGAGTCAGTGAGTGAGTGAGTCAGTCAGTGAGTCAGTGAGTGAGTGAGTGAGTGAGTGAGTCAGTTAGTCAGTGAGTGAGTGAGTGAGTGAGTGAGTGAGTCAGTGAGTTAGTCAGCAGTCAGTCAGTCAGTGAGTGAGTGAGTCAGTTAGTGAGTCAGTTAGTGAGTCAGTGAGTGAGTGAGTGAGTCAGTTAGTCAGTGAGTGAGTGAGTCAGTTAGTCAGTGAGTGAGTCAGTTAGTGAGTGAGTCAGTCAGTCAGTGAGTCAGTCAGCAGTCAGTGAGTCAGTCAGCAGTCAGTGAGTGAGTGAGTGAGTGAGTGAGTGAGTGAGTGAGTGAGTGAGTCAGTTAGTGAGTGAGTCAGTCAGTCAGTCGGTAAGTCAGTCAGTCAGTCAGTCAGTGAGTCAGTCAGTGAGTGAGTAAGTGAGTCAGTTAGTCAGTGAGTCAGTCAGTGAGTGAGTGAGTCAGTCATTGAGTCAGTCAGCAGTCAGTGAGTGAGTGAGTCAGTTAGTGAGTCAGTTAGTGAGTCAGTGAGTGAGTCAGTGAGTGAGTCAGTCAGTCGGTGAGTCAGTCAGTCAGTCAGAAAGACTTGACAAATCATTGGTTTAAAGATTTTGTGTGTGTTGTTTCAGGGTCGAAACCTGGCGGACCTGAGGAGAAGCATGCCTCGTGGAACATTCAGCATCAGCACCACCCTGCGTCTAGGGCGCCAGATCCTAGAGGCCATAGACAGCATCCACTCTGTTGGCTTCCTGCATCGCGACATCAAACCGGTGCGACACAACGAACGGGTTGCACGTTGGCTCTGTACGCTGTCTAAGACCTGGGCTACTGAAAAACTACACTGGGACATAGTTGTGTTGCTTTGTCTGCGGGTAGCTTTATGGTCCTGGCATTTTTTTCAATTTTATTAATATTAACTGTTGAAATTGAATAGAATTGAGTTTTTTAGTATTTTCCTGACTTCTTACAGTAAGTTGGCTCAGATGTTGTGGAAAATGTAGATAAAACAAGATTGACTAGATGAAGCGGAACAGTATGATGGACGTATACTCAGGTCAGCAAGCGTGTAAAGAGCATTTCAGAGAGGCTGAATGTCCCGGCCAGTAAAGATGGGCAGAGGTTCAACAGCCTGCCAGATACTGCATCTAAAAAGTGAGGAACAATTTCACAATAATAGTCAACGAAACATTTGGAGGAGTGAATATCGCATCATCAGCTCTTCATCTGCTCATCAAATGGTTTAAAGAATCTAGTAGAGAAATCTAAACTCAAAGGACAAGGCTGAACGTCAGGACTGGATACAGGTGATGTTTGAGCCCTCACAGGGTTAAAAACTGGTCTAATCCTTTCATGGATATCACCACATGAGCTCACGAACACGTCTTCAAATTATTCTTATAAATGCAGTTTGCTGTGTCGCCCACAACAACTCCAGCAGCGGGTGTCCTCAGGTCCTAGATGTTTGTGGGACTGTTGTTAAAAGAGGACGGGATGCTTCACAACAGGAAACATGGCTGCCATCAATGTTAAAATGTGCCTTTTTTAAATATGGTTCTTGAGATTCAGTGTGAATAAATTATGGGTTTGTTAGATTTGTTTAAATGTATGTTTTACACATCAACTCATCCTGCTCAGATAATTGGCTTTTATTGTTTTATAGTTCTGCTTTTCCATCTTTAACCTCTTCCTGTTTCTGCTTCAGTCTAATTTTGCCATGGGCCGCTTCCCAAGCACTTGTCGGACCTGCTACATGCTGGACTTTGGTTTAGCTCGTCAGTTCACCAACTCGTGTCAGGAAGTCCGGCCGGTGAGAATCATGTGCTCCTACTTTTGTCTTACTCTGGTTTCTAGCTTAGTGTCTCTGTTATTACTCAGAGTCAGGTAGTAATGAATTTAAAGAAGCGTCTCGACTGTTTGAATTCACTTGGGTTCCTTTAGCACCAATTAACATCCTATACCACAAGTAGGTCACCTTTTCTTTTACAAAGGGACTTAGTTCATGATTCAAAGGCCCACATCTTAAATTCAGCTCAAGAACATTCATTGATATTTGGTCCATAAAAACATGAAAAGTTGAACTTATGCACCGACACTGGAAACAAAACGTGACTTCACTAACCTTCACATCAACTGACAGAGCAGCTTTAGCTACTGTTTAAGTAGCTGATCAGGTCCATCTGATCAATAAGGTAAAATAAACGTAAATTAAAGACTTGGCATTCCTTCATGGAATGCTTGTTGCCCGCCACTTTTAGACTGGCATCATTTGGAAGGAATGAAGTTTTAGACAACAAAGTCCATGCTCAATAATCCAGGTGTACAATCCAACAATTTTCAGTCGGGTCATCTGGACAGTTTGTTTTTGTGCTGAAACGTTTCACCTTCCATCCAGAAGACTTCGTCAGTCCAGGAACCACAAAACTGATTCTTCCCAACTTCTTACTCCAAAGAGGAGCTCCTTCACTGTCCAGTTTTAAAACTCTTTTAAAAACACATTTTTACTCCCTGGCGGTTTGTTCTGCACTGTTTTTATTGTTTTATTGATCTAAACGTTTTAACAATATGTGTTTAAACTTAGTTGAAGTTATGTTTCCTGCACCTTGTTGCAGGCTTTATAAATAAAGTGTTAATAGTTTAGTCATGTAAAATCAGCTACCCATCAGCGTAGGCTTAGCTGCTACTATTTAAAACTACTGATTTAAGATTGTGAGGAGTTTCCTGTTTGAGCTTGTAACATTTGTGCAGATTTGATTTTACTCCTCGTCAGAGAGAGTTTCATTTTTATTTGCAAATGTGAATCTTCATGTTTTTAGCCGCGTCCAGTTGCGGGCTTCAGGGGAACGGTTCGGTACGCTTCTGTCAACGCTCACAAGAATAAGGTTGGTAACCGCTGGAGATGTCCTCACAACGCGTAACCGCGTCGTTCCCTGACCCGTCGCTGTGTCGTTGTGCAGGAGATGGGTCGTCATGACGACCTGTGGTCTCTCTTCTACATGCTGGTGGAGTTTCTGGTGGGTCAGCTGCCCTGGAGGAAGATCAAAGACAAAGTGAGGACCAACACAGAAACGCTTCTCCAGACGTGACGCATCCGTTTTAATTGCTTTAATTCCAGGAGCACGTGGGGAAGCTGAAGGAGACGTACGACCATCGGCTCATGCTCAAACATTTGCCGGCAGAGTTCACGGTTTTCCTGGAGCACGTCTCCAGCCTGGACTACTACACCAAGCCTGACTTCCAGGTGACACAGCACCCTCACACGAAGCACCAACACCGTCTTTATCAGCCACCTCCACAAGGCACGCCACAATTATTTGCTCTCGTCTTCGTTCATGTGTTACGTGTTTGTCTGTTAGCAAAATATCTCACAAACAACTGGAAGGATTTTAATCAAGCTGTCGGAGGAACTTTTTGGATAGATGTCTACAAGTGATTCACTTATGGATTCAGCGTGATTCAAGGTTTCTGCCACAGCGAGCCACATCAGAACACAGACGTGTGGTCGTAGCTGACAGTTATTCACAGCACATGCTCCGAGCACGTTGTGCATGACGTCACTTGAAACGGCTCAACGTCGTAGCACATCTTTGTTAAGGCGAACCTCTTGGACGTGAAGACTGAGCGTGAACCCTTCACAGAGCACGTGGGCCTTGTGTTCCACACTAAACTCTGTCACTCACATCATTGTTGTGCATTTGTCAGGGTGACAACTCACCAGTTGTTCTGGTGACCTTTAATTTTCCCTCTTGAGTAAAACGTCTGAAACTGTAGATAACATCTGTACGTCTTGTTCCAGCTGCTGATGTCGGTGTTTGACAGCAGCATGAAAACGTACAATGTTGTTGAAAACGACCCGTTCGACTGGGAGCGGACCAGCACGGACGGCACTCCCACCATCAGCGCCAGCGCCACGACACCGCAGCATCACACTCGCCTCACTCCCGCACACATGGGGTACGTGCACGTCAACATGACATCACAGGGTTCACTCCTTCAGGTTTCTGTTTGGTCACATTTAATGTTTCAGGTTTTATTTCACCTTTATTTATCCAGGCTGGTCTCACTGAGGCACCAGGACTCATTTACAAGAGAGGCCTGTGTAGTCACACAACTACTGTTCTAGTACTAAGACCGGTCTTGGTCTTGAGACCGGTCTCAAGACCAAGACCGGTCTCAAGACCACTTGTTGATGGTCTTGGTCGGACTCGACTGCATTTGGTCTCGGTGTTGTCTTGGTCTCAGACATTGAGGACTTGGGATTTTTATTTCAAGACCACAACTGTGGAAACGTCAGTCAACATTGTCCAGTTTATTTGTTAACTTGTTTTTACTGGATGTAAAACGTACTGGTTCAAGTGATCACATGACTCATTGATCAATACATGTTTCTGTTACTGCTGTCACGCCCACACCCTTTCACTCACGTGGTTCTGTACCAACAGAACAATACGGACAACAGAACGTAACGTCACAACCAGGGGTGAAAGTAAGTCGGTCCGGTCCAGTACTGTGTACCACTAAAAGATTCTGCACCAGTACACAGTACCTGGAAGAGAGGGGAGCGTCTGTAAAGCCTCATCCAGAACCAGTCACGGCTGCACTTTGGGTCAGAATAGATTCTTTATCAATAATCAGTGTGAAACACGACTTATCAGTTAATAAATATCTTTTATTTACTCATTTCAAATAGTTTCTGAAGTGTTGGTGCTCTGCTGGAGCCTCGTTTCTCCACCGCGGTGAAGTTAGTTTTACGTTGGACGTTGGAGCTCGGTGTCTTCAGCGGTGTGTTGCTCTCGTTGGATCCGAAGCCGGCAGTCTGAGTTCAGTCTGCACGTCCTCGGAGACGTAACGGTTCACTTAGGGACCGGCAACAAATTACTGAAGCAAACACTCTTCACAAACAAAAAGTAATATGTTTCACATCATTTGAGTCACTGACACAAAAGTAATGTTACGCTGCTCTAACAGACCTCACACACAGCACACCAACAGTTATTTCTCATTTTAAAGCATTTTATTATTAGTTATTGAGCGAAAAACATGATTTCTGAACAAATAAATGATTAGAAAATGCTTTAAATGAGAGCTAAATGAGGGTGCCTGGCCTGTCAGTAGAGTTTAACATGAGTTTAGTGTCGGCGGGTCACATGACATGAACATTATTGTGCAACAACCACCGAACGTCTGATTTCTTTATGAAGCTTTGAAAACGTATAGAAGCTGATACGTTCATTCAAAAGCAAACAAAGTTGCAGTATGTAACTTTATAAAAAATGTTTTTATAAAAGTTATTTATGTTTTTTACATATTTGTTAAAACTGTCACTATGTTGTGACAGTTTAGTATAAGACAAATAATCTATGAAAAGATTGAGCTCCAACTTGAGGTCTTGGTCTTGACTTGGTCTCGGTACACTCTGGTCTTGGTCTTGACTTGATCTCGGTACACTCTGGTCTTGGTCTCGGTACACTCTGGTCTTGGTCT